TTGATCCGCGTTATGCCTTATTTTTTTTCGTTGAGAAGCTGAGTAGAGCCGCATATGTGTTCTCTTGAGGATCATTCTGATCCTCTGCGAACCGGTCCTTTATCTGCTATCGTTCTATATGACTCCAAACTATCCCTCAATTCCAGTCAGATCATCGTCTGTTGCCCCCTCATTACCTCGTTTTACAACCACTTTCTAATAAGCACACGCCTAAGTCGACAGTCTTGTGGTTTTTGTCTCGTCTTTATTGTAATTAGGCTCTGGATAATCGTCGGCGACTTATCTGAAATGCAGTTGGACAATCGTGCCGTGACAAACAGTCAAGCATTGAGGATCATTAGTGGCAATGGTAAGACGTACTAGAACGCCCACGTTTGATTTATCAGTTAGCGTCGATCAGCGGCACCACAAACTGGGGTTCCAACGCGTCTGGGGCTTGAATGGGGGTCAACTGAACCATTTAATTCAAGATTATATAAATGCAGTAATGAGCTGTTGATTCCGATTTAAAGTTTAAATGTGCCGACCGATAACAATGACGCACTAATTAATACTTGTGCTTAAAAGGCAGAAATTCTTACATACTAAACTAGGTTGTTATAATTCGCAGAGAGTGTTGGACGTTGCGAATGCTTCAAAAGCCAATGCACGTAGATCAGACCGCCGGACGACCACCTCAAACTGTTCAGGTGAGAACGGATATAGAGACACGCGTGGCGACTGTTTCAAACACTATTGGACCTTTTTTAAATCCAAATGCGGCTAATGACTTGCGAAAAAAACTGCACTAAAAACAACACAAACTGTTGGTTTTAAAAACACTCTAAACCATTACAACCGTTCATTGACACGAACCTGCAACCTTCCATTTCGAACACCACCATGCTTATACACGACGGGAAGACAGTGAATTGAGTATGATTTAGTTTATAGCGGAATAGACTGCCACAGCATTTGGCGCAATATCCACACTCTCCTACCTATGCACCATTAAAGTCACCAGAATCAGCATAGTCGTAAAGTATCCAAATGCCAGACCATGCCTTTTTGATAGTCTTTTTTCATGTATTTTTGCCGTACGTTTCTAGTGGTAAAACTTTAACCTCACCGGTTCACCTATGCTACGTCTTTTCTCCACGCTCCCCTGCAGGTATGGTGCTTAGTGGCTGCGGTCTGCGTTGGTTCGCTGACTTAACCTATCACGCTGAGATTATCCGTGGACCCCTTCCGAGTAGCTGGTGGAATATCTTTTGGACAACTAACCAAACACACAAAAACCTTAAGTTCCTCATGAAATGCAGTATTATGGTTATGGACGAGGATATATTCGCACGATTCCGCCAGATTGCTCTGGCAACAGCTATCACACGCGCTGGCCTAAATCTCAATCCCTCCCTTGTTAAGCAGATTTCGGGAGGAATTGCTCGAATGCCCATCATTCCCTGCCTCATTGAAGGACTGTTAACCATGCCTATCTACAAGTATTGGGTCAAACTCCCCTGGGCGTGGGCTATCATGTTAAGGTATGTTCCAACTTTAAATACACCTATTAACATTTACTTGTTGCCGACCTTAGGCCTATTTGACTTCAGAAACTACTGTCGCAAAGTCTGTCATAGTGGTGAGTATTTACGTCATTTACTTGAATCGGTTGAAAGTTAAGGTTTAAAACTCCTGACGCAAACCTAATTTTTCACACCCGAGCCCTCGTTGATATATCCAGAGTATTAGACAACGTATCTTATTATCATAAAGTTTAATTTCGAGTTTCGCGATGCACAGAATCCAGGGTGACCTAATGAAAGTTCCCTGTTTCTGCGATGTTCTAGATGTCACCACCCGTTGGATAGGACTGGTGGTATGTCAACATGGACTGCCTAGTAGAATAAGAATCCAGCCATAAATTAAAGCTACTTGTATCCGTAAGAAAAGCTAAAAAAGTAAACCAAATGTTTTCAAAAGACGAATTGACGAGTAGAAGTTTGCTTTCGACAAATTCTCTCCAGGTTTGTACATCTTTCTAGTAATTAAGCAGATAAACTATGCAGGTTGGTAGAAAATAGTGCGATTCTCTGGGTATGTGGGTGTAGATGGGGGTGGAAGAGTGCAAAATGGGAGTCCAAAATCTGATCAGCCTCAGTGGAAACTGGTAGCTGAGAATAGAAATAATCTTGGGTCCAGCCTCGTCCCAGTCACACTAAGCTTGAGAGGATTACCTCATAAGCTATTGATAGTGGTCAACTCGAAGAAAGTCGCTGGATGCGAGGCAAATATTCTGACGACGTAGCATGCTAGGTCACCGCGAAGCTGTCTGATATCCAGAGGAAATAAATTGAGATTGGACAAGCGTGTCTCGTAAGGTAGGTACTCGTGGTCTCGTACTAGTTGAGTTA